TCCTGTGTCTGGAATGGAAGTTACTTCAAATGACGGCAGTGCCCTTTAGATCTCATTATTTCTTTGACAAATTGTTATTATCAAAAAAGTTCTGTGCACAACATTTTCCTTCCTGTCTCAAAGACTTCACTCATAGGAGACACCCTACCCCTTTAACTGGCATTCCCACTTTGTCGTCCTAATGTCACATCGGCTAAAACAGAACTCAGTGTCTTTCCCTTAACTCAGCTCCCCTTCTGACTCCCCATTGTTATTCTCTCATCATGGCCCAGCCCGTCTTTCTTGACTCCTCCTTCCATCTCTACTACTGTTGGCTTCTCCCCTCATAATATTTAAGTTTTGGTTCCCCTGGAAGCAGACCCCAAGATAAGGCTTTGAATGCAAGTAGTTTACTTGGTCGGTTCAAAAAACACTGATAGGAGATTGAGGTGGGAAGCAGGCAAATAAAAATGAGTAATGAAGCCACCACCTTGGGGATGATTAGAGCTTATTCCTTGGGGGAAGACTCTAGGAGATGATGTAAAACACATGTGGTAGCCCAAACAATGCCTCCTAAAGGTGCCTGTTCCCTAATCACCAGAACCAGTGAGTATATTATCTTGTATGGTAAAAGAGACTTCACCCCATGACTAAATTAAGGATCTTGAGATGGGAAGAGTATCCTGGATTATCCAAGTGGACCCAAAGTAATCTAAGTGGACCTTATAGGAGGGAGGCAGCAGGGTCAGAGTCAGAAAGAAATTGGAAGTTGGAAAATTGCTGGCTTTGAAGATGGAGGAAGGGGCCATGGGTCAAGGAATGTAGGCAGCATCTAGAAGCTGGAAAAGCAAGGAAATAGATTCTCCCCTAGAGCTCCCAGAAACAACCCGCTCCACTGACACCTTGATTTTAGCCTCTTTTGGACCAAGATTCATTCTGGAGTTCTGATCTCCAGAACTGTTTGATAATAAATTTGTGTTTCTTTAAGCCTCTATCATTTGGTAATTTTTTATAGCAGCAGTAGGAAACGAACACACCACCCAAAGGGCAAGGTGTTTATGTGTTGACTCCCGTGAATCACTGGTGGAGGGCTTCTGGGCATGAGGGTGTTAATTCTTCAGCTCTCAGGTAAAGGGAAGTACAGGCAGGCAGTTCAGAGTCAACCAGAGCACAGCAGAGTGCTAAGATTCCAGGGAAATGGACTTTGGGCCAACAGAGTCAGCCAAAATGTGCCCTTCACCTGCTTTCCTGTCTAATCTGCCTCCATAGTCTTCTTCCTTGCAGGTTAGCCTTTCCAGTCAATCTCCCAGCGTTTTACAGATGAATCTTCCTAGAATAAGCAAGACCTTAAGTGGGTTGCTTCCTTTCTCAAACACCTGCAATGCTTTCATAATGGAAGAGCCTCACAAAAGGAAGCCCAGAGGCCAGGAAATGACTTGCAGTGGATCCCCTGAGCTTTAATCTTGGTCCTTGAACTTTTAAATGTGGGTGTGCAGAAGAAACAGCAGGTGCGCTTGAATATCTATTTGTGGACAGAGTCCCAGGCTTGGCATTCGAAACCTTTGTAGCCTTGAAACATGGATCCCTTAGGTCTGCATTCCTTAGAATAGCAGTAACACCATGAGGAAGTGAGAAAATTGATTTGAAAATGGAGAAGGTTAATTAAAGGAAACATTTAAGACGTGCGGTTGTCAATTGACACCAGAGAAACTGCGCCTGAGAAATTCTGAGTTCTGCACATTTACAGAATGTCACATGTCTATTTAGATAAACCCAGAGTCCAAGGAGACATACTACGCTGAAATTACTTCAGCGCACCAAAAGAAAGGACATTCACCCTTCCTACTCTGCCTGCCCTGATGGGAAGTGCTTAAAATTCCAGAGCCTTTGTATGGCAGACGTCAGGTTCAAATGGCTCCCTTAAAATGTGTCCCCAGTCCTCACACTGATTTGCCCAAGCTGTGCTGACTTTGGACTGCCTGTTGGTCCACACCACTAAAAGGCAGAGAAACAAAGAAGAGAGTCTGTATGTTTTAAACACATCAAAAATAAATATGCTTTAAAATTAGAACAGATAGTTGCTGATGCTGGTTTTTTGTTTGTTTGTGTTAATCCTTGTTCCAGAGTAAGGGTGGGTTGGTGAAAGGTGGAGCCTAAGAAAGGAAGGACACTTACTAACATTGCCCAAGGCGTTCAGTTCACAGTAACCCTCTGAAGAAGGCGGTAATAGTCCCACTTGACGAATGATACGGCTCAGGTTCCAAGAGTGTATGTGATTTGACTCATGTCATGAAACTGAGAAGTCCGTCACTTGGGACTGAGTGTCACTCTGGTTCTGACGTCTGTCCTCTATTCTGTCTCTCGTGTAAGACAGAACTTGTATTTATATAGTGCTTTTCAAGCATTTTTCTTACGTTCTCTTCAAAGTTCATCTGTGGGGCAAATATCAGTTTCCACATTTTCCAGGTAAAATTACAAAGGTTCAAAACTGTTTTCCCCAAAGATTCAGCCAGTAAAACAAGGAAAGAGGTCTGGGTTGTGAGGTCTTTCCAGACAATTGTGTCCAGACCACAAGGGCTGTGGCTGGGTGACCTGAAACCAGCTGGTAGCAGGCGGTTCATTTCAGAGAATCAGTCTGGTCCAAAGAAAACTAAAAAACACTTAAATGTTCTTTTTTCCTAATTAATTAATGGAGTCTGCTTACCCCAAATTTGGACAATACAGAATAGAAGAAAATGAAAATTGCCTGTAGTATCACCACCAAGAAATAATCCCAAGTATTATTTTGGTACATTTCCTTCCAGAAAGTGTATTACAGGTGTATTTGCCTACTGTATTCTTAGAAACGTGGGATCATGTTGTGTACAGCTTAATATCCTGGTTTTCTAACTAACATGAGATGATGAGTATTTCCCCAGGTCATTACATAATCTTAAGAAACTGCCTCATATACCATAATATGGCATGAACATAAACTTAATTTACTTAAGCATTCACTTCCTGTTGAACATAGAAATCATTCCTGGTTGTAAACTAGTACACATGATGCTGTGGTTTTTGGTATCTAAACATAAAATTTACATCTCCAATAGCAGTGGGTGAGGCGGCCAATTTCTCCATCTTTAGTGTTGTTACTTTTAAATTTTTGCAAGATTGATAGGTGAAAAAAAATTCTTCTAATTTGCATTTTACAAATGGCAGCCAAGCTGAACTTGCTTCCCCACCTATACTTATCAGGTGTTCTAATCCACACCCAGTAGCAGCAGGTTGGTTTCTGTGCTGCCTCAATCCTCAGAGACCCAGCAGTAGATACCTGGACAATCCAGTATTAAAATAATCCCCAGAACTCCCATGTCGTGCCAGTGCCGGCATGGAAGTGTAAGCACCTCTGGGCAGGAACTGGCTCTTATAATCATCTTTCTTGTCCCTAATTCCTGGCTCTGAGCCAGACACCTGGCAGGGTCTCAACACGTTTGTTGCAAACATTGCAGCAGAACATATGTTCTAATTTTGGCCTTCTGACTTGCTCTATGACTTCTCAACAAGTTAGGTCACCTCTTTTTGTCTCCTTGTGTTCACCAATAAATGGATGAAAGTGTTAGGTAACGTGCTACGTGAAATAAATGCTGGAGGAATGCTGCATCTTCCATGCAAAGAGCTGTGTGTGTGTGTGTGTGCGTGCATGCGCGCACGCCTGTCACCTGGGCAAGATTCCTTTCCTTCTCCCAGGGTGGAGAATTCCGTGTATATTACAAGTGTGGGTTTTTAGTTCCCTTCCACTTCTCATGCTGATGGAGCCCATTTCATTTTGTTTTTCTTTCCGTTCTCAGAGTTTAGCACAGTGCATGACACATAGGAAGTATCTGGAAGGGAGGAGGAAGAAAGGAAGCCAGGAAGTCATTAATGATGGAAGGATGAATGAATGAAGTATTAGAGCGGGAGGAGATCTTCCAGATCTCATTTTCAAGGTCATCTTCTCGGTTACCATTTTATTTTTGTAAACACGGCTACATTAACACCCTCACCTTATAGGCACTTGCTAGAATAAATTTAAATCACTAGCCAGGGAATTTTAATTTGATAAAAAAATTATCCATATTAAACACTTCCTTGGGTTTTGCTTTGTTTTGTTACTAGTCATAGTCTTAATATAAATATAAAGTCAAGAAGTACAGAGTTTTCACTTTTAGTGGAAGCACACCATGTATGAAACAATGATTAGATTACAAATTTATGTTTTATGTGAATTTTTCAACCATATCAAAAAAAATGATGAAGTTATCATTTCAGTTTCCAAAGATAATTTAAATGAGTACTTAGGAAGCCAATGAAACTAATAATATAAATTATGTCTTTGAAGATCTCTTTTTCCTAAATAACGAACATGCTTATTTTAACCTGCTAAATATGCGTGTTTTTTAATGTTTTACTACTTGCTATATAATATTTCTAAAATGATGAAATACTTTTAGCAAAGCCACTGTAAGGAAGTTACAACTAATCCACTCACAATTTTTCTTGTATCATTTATTTATACGATTTAAAAATGACAGGCTTTTTGTGCTTTTCTCAATTCCCAAATGATTTCCCTAGTTAGAACAAATTAGTGCCAAAGAAAAAGACATTTGTTACATAATTGCAGAAGTTATTATGACAATTGTAAGAGCCTTTGATGCAACCACTTATCTGAGGAACTTAATTCACTGATGAAATCTTAAAACATTGACAAACATGTTGATTTTTAGTTTCTTAGAATTTTTATTGCAGATTATAACTACTAAATGCCTAAAATATAATCATCTTTTTCTTCTTTAGAGATTAGTAATTTTCCTCAATAAGTTAGAAGGAAATAACTGGACATGGCATGTGACCTTTGAGACCCATCTATAAAACTTTGCAAATGGGTGGATGACTCAATTTTCTCATATGCTCTATTATTAGAACAGAAAAACTCAATTCACTTTAGAATGATGCTATAGAGGTTAAATTTAAATTATGTATTTGAAATTAAATTACAGATATTTTTAAAGAAAGCCTATACTTTTTAATTTTCTATTTTAAAGCATGTAATAACTTGAGAGCACATTAAGTTTTCTTAGAACAACTGTATTTTTAGAATTTAATTCCTACTTCATAAATGAGACTCATTACTTTTTACTGGATGCAATATTTTATTTTATCTTTCTGAAGATGTTTCAACAATTTTATGTAATATAATTTGAAACATACCAAAGTCGTAAAAGAACAATAAGCAACTAAACCCCAAATGCAGCTTTCGAAGTAAAACATTATAAAGTGGAAATTCTTTTGTGTATCCCTCCCAGTCACATTTCCTTCCTATCCACCTTCTAGAAGGAATCTCCATCTTGCAGATAGATACTAACTTGCGCTGCTTTACTGATTTAGGCGACAGGTAGGAATCCTTAAAGGATGTATAGTAAAGTTTTAGATGTTTCTAAACTTTATATAAATAGTATCTGAATGAATGGGGTCTTCTGCAGTGTGCTTATTTTAGTCAATATATAATATTGTATTTGTGAACTGTATCTATATTGAAATATACAACTCTGTATCACACATTTTAAGCAATGTATGGCTTTTCAGTTATATGAATAGACTGCTGTCAGTCTGTCCATTCTCTTTTTGGTGAATAGTCAGACTGTTTGTAGGGGTTTTTTGCGCAGGAAAATGGGGCGAGAGAGGATGGTCATGTCCCAGATCCCAGGCAAGTCCCTGGGACGCACCCCATCAAGTGAGAGTCCTTGGCTTCACCAAGGAAAGAATTCAAGACTGAGCCACAGTTGAGTGAAAGTAGATTTACTGAGAGAGACACATACTCCATAGACAGAGTGTAAGCAGTCTCAGTAGGCCAGACGAAGGCCACAAGGTGCAGGGTTGGGTGTTTAGTTTAAAGTAAAAGTGGGTACACATTCCATAGAGTGCAGGCGTCCCCAAAGGCCAGGCGTGGTGTTGCTGGTGTTTATGGGCACGGTTATTTCATGTGCTGACAAGTGGGAGGAGTATTCCAGCTACTTTGGAGAAGGGACCGGGATTGCCAGGAACTGGGCCATCACCCACTTTTTGACCTTTTTTGGGTAGCCTCGGAACTGTCCTGGTGCCTGTGGGAGGGCCATTTGCCGTGCTAATGTATTACGATGAGCGTATAATGAAGCTCAGGGTCTACGGGGAGTTGAGTCTCCCTCCGTCTTGGTGCTGACTGCTGCGTCATTCCTTTAATGGCTGTGCCCTGCCCTCTGCCCTCCAGTCCCACTAACAAACAATGCTGCTGTGAATGATCTGTGCATCTCTCCCCATCACACATGCAGGAGTTTCTCTGAGATAAATCCCTACAAGTGGAATTGCTGGGTCAGTTTGTTCAGCTTTACCCTTTCTGGATATCGCCAAATTGCTTTTCAGGGTTGGTTCTACCGATTATAGTTTTTTTAAGTTTTTGGCATAGTGTCTGTTTCTTCCAATCTTTTTCTCTTATTGGGTGATTTTTCTTATTAGGTGGATGCTTGTTTTCGTCTCTTTTATTGTGGGGCTTTTGTCAAATGTGTGGTGAAGAACCAGCCATCCATATTTGAGGAAGAAGTCCAAAAGTTCATCCTTTGAAGCCAGTTGAAGTCTTACGTGAGTTATGTAGACAGGGACAGGTGTAAACTGTGGGCTTTACTCTAAGATAAGGTTCAACAGCAGCATTACTGGCATTTGGAGCTGGGTAAGTCATTGTTGTGGGGGCTTTTATGTGCCTTGTAGGATGTCTGGTAATTTCCCTGGTCTCTCCCCACTAGACACCAGTAGCATTACTCACCTGTAGTCATATCAAAAATGTCTCCATATGTCCCCTGGGAATGATCCCCTTCAACCCCCCAAGTTGATAACCACTGCTCTAGAATACATAAGGGGCTGGCTGGGCTTTTTATTTGCTTCAAATTTAGGTCTCTAGAAGCCATTTCTCTGGGCTCACTCCCTTTCTCCAGAAGGGCTCCTCCAGTCTCCTGTCCTTGATGGAGGAGAAGCAGAGAATAAAGGCCTGGTACAGCCACTTACTCAGTCCTCTATTTTCACTCAGTGCACCATTACTGAGGCATTTAAACTGAGTGGGAAGTCACTGAACCAATTGCTAGGATAATACTCCATAGGAATACCTTTAACCTATTGGTTGAGATTTCATCATTTATTATTTTCCTGTTTTAATAGGCCATTACTTTCCTAATTTTTTTAAAGATGTTTATTTAGAATAAAAGTTGTAACGATTCAGAATTTTTTTTTTAGACTGTCTTGGTTAACCATGTTTATGGGCAATTCTTACAGTTCAACCAATTCATTTTGCCTTAGTGGTATCTTAGTGGTGCAATTCTAATTGGAAATGATTTAATAATGTACATAAATTTTCTAAGAAAGCTTCTATTGACCATTTTTTCTCCCTCTGACATACTTATTTTTTGAAATATTTATCTTATATGAAGAAGACAACCAAAAAATGTTAATTCTAGTTAATGAATAAAGACACTTGAGTGAGGGGAGGGAGAGGCGAGGAGGGGGGAAGGCAGGAAGGGAGGGTGGGGGGATGGGGCTAAAAAAAAAAAGGAGGAAGGAAGGAAGAAGCACCTAGGAAATCACCTTTCTAAAACTCAAATTCTTCCTTTCCCTAACACTGTTTTCGGTATGTGAGACGCATCTTAAGAACCAAACTGACCTTTGAAGAGGGAGAGGAAAAACAGTTCCAGTGCTTATCAGTCTTGTCAGTGTCCTGTTCGGTTTTTGTCCTCTAAATGGACTGGATGCGGGAGAAGAGTTTTGAAGCCTCCTCCTAGTGTAGAGATGTAAAGGGTGCATGAAGGCAGTGCTTTCCTCTGTTGACTTCTTAGCTTTGGATGGGGACACCAGGCAGGCAATACAGTAGCTCAGGAAACTGAGTTGTCTGGCAGCTCCAGGTACGGCCGGGTCTAAGACCGCATCAGGCAAGACCCTTGGGCTTCGCCTGTCTCTGTGTACCTCTTGCCTCAACATCGCTTTTCTGTCGTCTTCAGTCGTGGGCTCTTTGCACTGCAAACAAGAAGGGCACCAGCAGCTCTGCGTTTTCACTGCATCAGCTCAGCACCCCCGTCTTAGTCCATTCAGCAGCTGTAACAAAATATCAGGGACAGGCTAGCTTATACATTTATTTCTCAGAGTTCTGGAGGCTGGGGAGTTGAAAATCAAGATGCTCGCAGTTTCCGTGTCTGGTGAGAGCTCAATTCCCGATTCGTTAACAGCACCTCTCGCTGTTTCCTCACTTGGTAGAGGGTTAGGAAGCTCTGTGGGGTCTCCTTTATAAGACAGTAATTGTCATTTATGAGGGATCCACCCTCATGACCTAGGCACCTCCCAAAGGCCCCACCTCCTAACACCACCACATA